TCGTCGCATCGATTGTTTACCCGCTAGTCGCTAGTAACGTAACCGCGCGACGTTGCCGCTGCGAACGTATAGCCCTCTCACTTTCGCGGTTAGCGCCGTCTCGTACGCACGGTACGGGCCGTCCCGCTCGCACGTCTAGCGGTGCTCAACTTTTTTCTACTTGCTAACTTTTTCGGTCTAGGCTATGTGAACCCTTTCGCGATTTGTTATTTATAATCGACTAGTAATGATAAATCTCGGGTCCTAATTCAATCACTTTTTTTTTTACACAAAAATGTTTTCGTTATCCAATCGTTCTGTTGGTGCATTTATATCGATTTACGAACGTAACGGATAAAGTTAGTCATTCCTGCTTGTTTCCAAATATAGTTAATGCAAAAGATATCAACGCGCCTGCACGTGAATTGCTCGCGTGGGCGACCTTTATTGCAGGGACTACGCACACAAAGCCACGGAAATAAATGCAAGACCAAAATAATACATTTCTATTATATTAATTCTGTAAATTTGACAGCAATAGACTTCGTTGTGGTGAAGTTGTGTGACGCTCGGATATTGAGTTGATTTCAATGTAAGTACGTTTTGTAGAAGTACCTATCCCAGTTAGCTGCTGCAGCTAATTTAGCTTCTACCTGAATGATCAGTGGAATTGTTAAAAAAGGTACCCTTGTGTACCTGATTCTCGTATTATCGACGTTCCAGCTAAAATGTTGCTCTTGATTTTTCATTGCATACCATTGACCTCATTCGTGTGGGCGGGCGCATTCAGTAGCGACACGTCTAACGTTCAATTCAACTGTAATTTTATTTGAGTCACTTCATTTCATTGTAAAAAAAATTATTGCTAATTGATTCACGTCAAAAGACAAAGGAGTCCAATTCGAGGCTAAGGGTTTTTGTTTAAACTTCCAATGTCAAGCAAAGGTTTTTTTTTGTCGTGCCTGCGTGATACTATGATCGAAATATGTTATATAAAAGCCTTACACGTAACAAATTTTGTGTGTTTAAATCAAAAACAATATTTAATCAAATGTACCTAAGTATGTAATCACAATTTAGCGCGCTAGGGGTGTTGTTTTGTTTTTTTTTTTTACGATAAATAGAGAAGTAAAGTGATCACATAGTTACAATAGAAAGTGAAGCGTCGCATCGGGCGTTAGAAAGCGGTCGGACCGTACACGGAGCACTGTCCGACTTTGTCTTCACAACCTTTACTTGAATTCCAAAGACGAAAAAAAAAAAACTAGGTACCTAACCTACACACAAGTGGGTAGGTACGTAGTGCGCAATATAAAAAACTCGAAGCTTTGAATATCGTTTCGCTATGAATTTAATTTGCAAAATTTACGTTTACCATCCCGCGTCGTCTCTAAGAATGCTAGTATATACTTACATACGCTATTTATATCATCAACTAGCGACCCGACCTCGCTTCGCTTCGGGGACTAAAATTTAATAATGTTGATTATTATTATTATTATTTTTTTTATAAATCTGAACCTGAGAAAATGTTACAAGTCAAACGCCATTAGGTTACATTTGAAAATTTGGTAGTTAAGTTTTCTTAAATTTTCTAATATTCCAAGAAACTTTTATTAATTTTTTTTTTCTTTCATAAGAACCTTCTCTTGGCTATAATAAACACAACAGAAAAGAGTATTGTCCAGTTTGTTGTCTGTAATTATGCGCGTATATACCTACATTACGCAGATTTTTTATATACAAATTTTGTTTTCTACCTGTTTTTGCCAGTAACCTCTAGGGCTTAGTGAATTCACGAGTCTCGCTCTGATAGAACTTGCTTAAATCTACCCCAGCAAGAGTAGTGGTTCGCTGTTAACCAACATATTTTTAGTACATATCACGTGCGACCCAGTTTGAAGGGTGGGGTAGTCATTATGTAACACAATTGAGATGGACTGCGGCATTCACGCTTCTGTATTTTGGTCGGTTACCGGAGCCCATAAACATTACAACGTAAATGCGTATTTCTGCCGTGAAGCAGTAATTCGTTTGGGTTTGAATGGTGGGGCAGCCGTTGTTACTAGGTATACTGAAATCTTAGAACTCATATCTGAAGGTGGGTGGCGGCATTTACGTTGTAGATGTCTATGGGCTCCGGTAACCACTTAACACCAGGTGGGCTGTGAGATCGTCCACCCATCTAAGTCATAAAAAAAAACTAGGCATAGGACGGTTTTGCATCAAAATTTATTATTTTTTAAATAAATTGCAATACCTATATAAGCACGAATATGAAAAATTCTGGACTAGGCCACATTTGCTCTGACGGCATCAAATATCTCTACTCATCCCTGTTTCGAGCTTTAGGTATGCATCTAATCCAACGATCCATTATTATTTTTTATTGCTTAGATGTGTGGACGAGCTCACAGCCCACCTGGTTACTGGAGTCAGACATCTACAACGTAAATGCGCCACACACCTTGAGATATAAGTTCTAAGGTCTCAAGTATAGTTAGAACGGCTGCCCCACCCTTCAAGTCGAAACGTATTACTGCTTCACGGCAGAATAGGCAGGGCAGTGGTACCTACCCGTGCGGACTCACAAGAGGTCCTACCACCATTAATTATTTAACCATATTATTTAAACACTAACACCAACGATCATTAACCCTCGAGTTTCAAAATCAAACGAGGTTTGAACTGTCGGTTTATCGGCGCGGGTCGATGCGACCCCACGCGCGCTCTGCCAGGTGCGAGCCGGCTCCCCTTCCGCCGCAGATGGTTGTCGCGGCTGACACTTGCACGTTCCTTAGATCCACGACCGAGGCTAGAGCTATTTTTGTATCCTTGTGTCTTTTACGATCATTACCAATTTGTACTTACCGCAAGGGTATTATAATAATCCTTAAGTAAGCTATAGGACTGACTTTTGACTTAAATATTTAAGGAAAAAAGTTATAAGGAGTCAAGAAGATAATAATTGTCTCACTTTTACATTCTGTCAGGGTTTATAATGATCTTGATGGATGCCTATAATTGTTCGGCTCTGAGGGTATTTTTATTCTCTTGCCGTTAGTGCAGCCTACTGAGTTTCTCGCCAGATCTTCTCAGTGGGTCGCGTTTCCGATCCGGTGGTAGATTCTGCGAAGCACTGCTTTTGCTAGAGCCAGTGTTAGCAACACTTCGGTTTGAACCTCGTGAGCTCACCTACCTGTGTTCGCATATCGTCATATCGTCATCTCAGCGCACGCATACTTTACTAAACATATTCCTTATTCGCACAATCCATTATAAAAGTGGAAATTTTTAACCAAAAAAATGATATTCAACCATGCGATTAAAATCACATGATTGGCTAGGTCATTGACCCCTTAACATATTCGGAAAGTCAAGGTCGACTGCGGGACACCTGCCCCGGTCTCACGCCAGGATCCGGTCAGCCAGTTGCCGGGAGTCGTCGAAACGTTGTACGGTGCAGGCTCGTTGCAATTGTAGAAGCATCTGTGAGTGAACTCGGTCACAGCTGTGCTAACTATGACGTCGATGAATCAATTCGAATTTAATTCCTGCCAAGACGACATGACATTGAAGTTGCTGCCTTATGTTAGACTGCTGAGAGACAAATATGTTTATTAAAAAAAGAAACACTAATTCAACTATTTGGTCATATCGAGTCTTGTATGAATGATAACAATAATCATGAAAAGCCGCGATGGCAAAAAGGCAAATTTGGGTGTCACGAAGGATGCAGCGAATACAAAGGACTGCAATGAGAACTAACCAGCCCATTTTAATAAAGCTAAACATCCAAAAAAGGCCCTCTACCATCTGCCAAGAACGCATTATTAGCTTCTTCGGATATATCATGCGGTCTCCCAGACATGGATTAGAAAAGTTCATTTTTTTATGATTGAATGATTACTGGTGGCCCGGAGGCCTTTCCAGTTTCACCAGGACAGGTGGGCGAGCAAAGGCTCAGCCAGGAGGGGTGAGATTTGCTAACAGCTGCCCGAGCGCCTTCGAATGAGACCTAACAACTCAAGAGCAACGAAAGCAAATGAATCTACTACTGGATCGGAATCGCGACCCGCTGAGAAGAACCAGCGAGAAACTCAGCTGGTTGGTGGTAGTCCATATCATGCGGTTCATAACAGAACACTATGGAGGAGAGTCACACGTGGTCGCGATTCTCAGTAGTGAGGAAACGAGCAAGTAGAAAGAATATTATAACTTAGATATTATAATATTCACTAGATACGTAAATGAATGCCCGAGAGTACCTCCCGTTGGACTAAATGTAAATCCTGTTTCTCACCTTTATGCGTTTGGACGTTTGCCAATAGCGCTTTAAATGTGGCTGTTAAGCTCAATTTGGAGTCATTGTCTCGAAACGATGCGTTACGTATGACTGTAGGTAGCGTATCGATAAAATGCTGCGAAGGAATTAAATAGATAAGTATTGTAGTGATGCGCATTAGCTATTAGACTAACAGTGTCATCAAACAATAATGCTCATTTCGTGTGCGGAAAATTGAGATGAAAGAGCTTAGATAGACCAAACGTATGGGTAGCCTAACTTATGTGACTATATCGAAATTATAATAATACTTATGATGTATTTATGAATGACTTTCAGGAAAAATAATATCGAGTATAAAAAATGAAACCTTTATAACCTAATAAATTTTGTTATTAGATAGAGCTATTAAGTACCGGTGGTAGGGCGCATAGTGAATCTGCATCGGTACATATCACTGTCGAAATAGTCACGAGTGGTACGTGCTTAGCAACAAACGGGCCGCCAATTCCTTCACCCAGAATGTGCAAAAAAAAATAATTGACCATCTTACGCAATATTATATAAGTAAGTTTGTACTAAGACTACAAGACATTTTAGTCTTGGTAATTGGTTAGAAACGAATTGATAACATTTAGTTACATCTAACTTATATCTGTAATTATAATCCGCAAACATATTGTGTGTACCTTGTGTCTTTGAAACACGTCTCTAATTATTGATATGGTTGTTCCAGACGGAGCTTTTCGGCATAAAATGGCGTAAGCTTGTGTGGGGTGAGACTAGCGGTGGCGGCGAGGGCGAGGAGGGCGCCGCTCCGTTGGCGGACCCCGTGATCAGCAGCTACGCGCGCTGCCTCGCCGGGGACATCCTCTGCGTGTGGCGGCGCGTGCCCGCCCCGCAACCGCCGCCCGACATCTATGACATGATGCCCGCCCCGCCGCCACCGCCGCCGCCGCTTTCACTTCGCGCCGCCAAAGAACTTTGGATATTCTGGTACGGCGAGGAGCCGGACCTCAACGGACTCGTCGCACCGGAACTCATATCGAGCCGTAAGTCATAGTTGTAAATCACTCTAATTTAACCCACACGCGTACAACTTCACGATAGAGCACTATTTAACAGGCTCGTTAAAGATATTTGACTAACGACATTCTGAACGAAATCGGTGTGGCATAACCAGTCTGAAACAATAGGAAGGGATGTTAACAGCTCGTTAACCAGACTGTGTTGTACGCAGCAATTAGCTTAGATTGAGATCTCGCGAGTTGCGACGTCATCCGGCGACAATAGACGAAAATCCAGGAAGCTACAGTGTACTGTAATCACGATAATGAATAGAACCCTCCCCCGGAGTCTTTCGGATTGTCTTTTTGAATAGCGTCTGCTGTCTGGGGCGGTGAATTAAGATTTTAGACACGAATTTCGTTTTTTCGGTATACTCGCCAACGTTCGGCGGTTACATTTTAATTAAGAATGTCGCAGTGGTTCATAATTCCACACGAAAATGTAAATCATATTCAGTAATAAGATATTATTTATTACGCAGGGTATTTCCAAGAGGAATATTAATTCCATTTAATAAACATTACTTAATGTTCCAAAATTAAATGGCTATTTTGTTGATAGAAATAAATATTGCGGTACAAGTGCAAGCAATCGTCTGTGAAACATTTTCTCAAATAAAAAATTATATGGCGACCAATCAGAGCACATTTTGTCACCAAACCATAATCTTAAAATAAAATGAATTTCAGAAAAGTCTTCATTAAATCTGCGAACTTTTCGACTTCCAAAACATCGAATAATATTACCTCATTACGCGTGGCCATTCGTACGAAATGCCATAATAAAACTTCATTGCCCCATTTGCAATCCGAGAGAATAAAAAAATCTTCATTTATATTTACCGCAACGCTACGAATTCGGTCATAACTGCGACACAGCGCCCGGTCGTTACAAAAGGAGCTGGCTGATAGGGAAGCTGACGCCCGCCCAATCTCGTAGGGCGGTACGGAATCGCCGGGCTCGATTTAAGGGCCTCCAATGTGGGACCCCACTTTGACTAAGAAATATTTATATTTTTCGATGAAGCCCTTTGTAAATAAGACTATGAACCTAGAAGTATATTTAGACATTATAGGCATAAAGGAAGGTTAGGTGCATGTTAGATTGCATGATTTTACGATTTTAAATGTTTCATTTTAAAGCATAATTTGTTCTAATGTATCATATAAATACCACACTTAAGATAAGATTTTTTCGATATATAATTCGTCTAATGTAGCCTACGGCGAGAGTCTAGGCCCAATGTGAGGAACAAAAAACTATAATACACCCGAATAAAAGTGATTATGGTAAAAACTAAATGTGAGGTTATGTTTTTAATATCGAAATATTCTGAATAATTTACAAAAAAATAAAGTAAAAAACCAATGATAATAATCAAATTTAGTGTAAAGTTTCTCTACTTAGTCAATTCAATAAGAAACGAGGAATGATATCACAAATTTAATACATAAAAAAATTGAGAAAAGACTGCATCAAAGTTTTAGTAAATCTTCTAACAAACACGACTCAAGTCATGAACAAAGAGGGGCAGAAGTTTCAGGACGTTGTTCTACTACACTTTTGCGGATCAATCCTTTATTCAACAGGTGGCATAGTGAATCGTAAGAAAGTTCAACATCTCAAATGACTTAGGGTCTGTTTTTGTACATGTCTTTCAATATACCGTTTTAGATCTACCCAAAATCCTTTTATGTTTTAAATATATTCTACAATAAGACATAAACTCAAAAAATTATCTTAATTTCGTTTTTAACTGTTTTTTTGTTTGTTTTTGTTTTATATGAGATCATCTTTTAGTATATTTGAATTTTATTTATTATTTCCGAGTACTTGTAATATTTTAAATATATTTCATAATATAATTTTATAAAATTTTTCGCATGTACCTAAAGCTCTATTCATAGTTTTTTTTTAGATAGGAAAGTTTTAATAAATCTGTAAGTCGCGTGCGCCGTTAGGATCGCAACTCCCTCTAGCGTGCAAGTTCACGTACGATTACTCGTGTATACGAAAATAGAACGTGACATAAATAAATCTACGTAATTATGTTTCTGACGCTTTTGTTTTGGGTTCTGAGACTCTGAGTAAGAGCTGATTGGTGGAATGAAAGTTACTATAGAACATATAAAAACACCGTACTGTGTATCTTTTTATTTGATATTATCGCCTTCATCTGTTGACGCAGCTTATTTGACATAATTGCCTGGAATTCGAATACTTCCTAGTTAAACAAAACCTAATTCGGGAAATTATATTATTTAAAATTATAATTTGAATACTTACCGTGCTCACTTGTACTAAAAAAAGTTTCTGTTTGAAGAGCAATGGACTCGAAATTCAAGCATTCTTGTTAAAGCCTCTCATGGAACCAGCAGCAATGCTACTGCTGAGGAGTTTGTCCATCCCATGCCTTCCACTTTATCTTGCACCATATTTGGTATCATTGGATCCTATTTGAATCGGTCTGTGAATAAATAACGTAACGCTGATTTGCAGATAACAGTAGATAAGGAACTATTAATAACACGACACATTGACGTCACTAATAGCTAAATTAATAATGTAAACAGGTAAACGGAGCAAATCGTAACAGATTTAATATCAGTCACTACCGCGCTCGTTCAGAAGGTCAACTCCTTGTTCGACATTGACATTGTCTACAATTATGTCATTTATCCTTCCCTCTGACGGTTTAAGTACACAAATACTCGTGTTTTAAGAAATTTTCCTTTGCCGTTACAAAAAAAAGAAAATACATTTATCACAGCTTACTTATTATTAAATTTTTACTCTGTAATGGTTGGTGATATGACGCTTGCATTGTTTCACACGCAAAATAGTGTTGCGTTGTCAATATTCTATGATCATTACTTTACCAAAATATGGACCACATATGATTCTGCCCGAGTACACTCACGGGCATATACATAAATAATCACATAATAATTAACATAGAGCACGTAGGCCGGTATACGCAACGGAAGCAGCGACTAAATAGTGAGAGACACAACGAAAAAGAAAATCTGAAATCTCGGAGATAAAACGTCCACGCGGAAAGCCGACTCAAGATAAATAGAGGGCGTTATATGGTCAATATGTATTTTTTGTTAGAAAGGAAAAAAAAATCAGCGACGTTCAGGATTTTGTTGTTTTTTAAAATTTTTAGTACGTGATATTTAATGAAATTGTCATTAGCGCGATTTAGTTAATTTTTGTGTTCGTTGTTAGGTGTAGTATGTAATTGGGAAATGTACGGTAGAACGGTAAAACACTTTAGCAACAGCGTAAAGCAGAATTTATTTGTAAAGCCCAAACGATATACATTTGTTTTCGGAAATGGTTCCCTTGCGCCCGCCGTATTGCGTCTGAACCGTCGAAAGCAGGTATTTATTTAAAAAAAAAAGCAAGTTTAAATAAGTGAATTAAAATTGGAATCCTTTTTGTACAAAACCCGTACCGTGGCCGTGGTTAGTTCAATTATTTCGACCTTGCGATTTCATTAGACGAATGCATCATAGGTTAGCAACAGTAAAGGACAAAAAAAAAACATTCTTACATTAAAAAATCGAGCATTTCAGTAAAAAGGCCTCAGACTGCATTTTTTTACCATTTTTAACCAAAAATGCCGGTTTTTTTTTGCGCTCGTATCCCTCAAAATTATCCTTATCTTTGCATCCGTATTAACTCCCGTGTGACCACTTCCGGCTCGGGAATTAATCTGCAAACATACATAAAAATATCGCCATACACATACATGACAGATAATTATCTGATAAGATAATCATAACAAACAGGGTCGTCTAATTTGTGACTTCAATTCTTTTTAAAGTAGCCACTCATCACTAATAATCAACAATTAACCAAACAATGATGCGCCATCGAATACGAGCTATAAAAAGAAAACATATTACGCATATCTCAATAATATTTATCGGACACAGGAAAAGTTGTGTAATATCGCACGTATGTGCTAAGTGGCCGTAAAATGCTACGCGCCGCCTCGGTTACGGTCTCTTGTAGTAAACGGTGCAGTTTTCAATGACGATATTAGTGAATAAGGCAATAAGGCTTATCTTAGATGTGGTGTTTTGCTTACGTGATATTTACGTGCCGTGAAATCGCACGCGTTATCGCGCTAGCATCATTGTCTTCAGCCTATTTCTGTCAACGTATTCGTGTAAAATATATCAAAAGACATAATTTGGTAATTGCAATTCCATTGGTCCTGCACGGGGCTCGGACGCCCGAGTAAATGCAGGATGCAAAGCATTTGCTTAGTGAATTGCTTAAATCAGTAGCTGTCGTTTTTCGTAACGGCCCTTCTGTGGAAGGCAATCCTAGTTCGTACTCTGCCTTCCGGACGCACCAGGCGAGGTGAATAAAAATGAAAGACCATGTTAGCTGACACCCAATCACTCTCTATCAACTATGGTAATTGCTTTCAGGCAATCCAAGCACCGTTCTCGTTGTACACGTTGAATGCGATGAAGGGTTCCTCGTGAAAATTAACTCACAGACACAGCCCACTGAGCTTTTCGCTGGATCTTCCCATTGGGTCGTAATTCCGATCCGCTCGAACGAAGCACTGCTCTTGCTAGGACTAGTGCTATTAAAATGTCTAGACTGAGTTCCGTGAGCTCGCCTTAGGCCCAACCTTATTAGGATGCGACAAGATTTTTAAGAGGCATAACTATTGTTTATATCCCAATAAATGTAACGCCCAAGGTCCAATATTCGAAACGTTGGAAATTGTATTCTAGTAACCAATCCGCACTAGAACGATTGTAGTCTATCTCGTTCACCCAGCTAGAATTAAAAAAAAAATTAGATTAATCGTGGGCGCCTTACACAGATGATGCGGTTCGGTTAGATTCTGACGTGCACCAGCATATAATAGGTATAGGCGCATAGGTAACTGACTAACAAGTTCGCAGACGGCCTAAACCTGCCGGAACAGTTTCCCTAAATTTGTTGAACAAAA